ATCTTGATGGTCAAGGCTGCCTTAACTTGGAGGAAGGAGAAGAGGGGGTGAGCCGGGGCTGAGCAGGCTCCTCACCCCCAGGAATTGAGACCCCAAAGTCTCTTTACTGGACCCCTGAGAGCCTTCAACAGGACTCCCTCCTGCTGGGCCCAGCCAGGGAAAGTTGGAGGTCTTGGCCTCTGGGTATGAGGGCACAGCTTTGTAGGGCCTTCGCCATTGTCTCCTTCCAAGAAGCAAGTTGCTTCCTACTTTGTTTTTAAAAGAGCCTTGTTGGCAGGTGGTGCATTAGGCCCAGGAAACCAAACTAGTTCAACATGAATTACACTTTCAGTGCTAGATGTTGAGAAGGGGCCCTGGTAGCTGTAAAGTAGTCGGAAATACAACGGATTTTTCTAATGTGAAAACCTAAGTCTGAGAGTACCACTGTCCCCAGGTGTACCACTTATTGGTAGTAGGACTTTGGGTACTTTATGTGATTTGAGCCTCAGTTTCTACAAAACAGGGTTAAGACTACTCACTTCACAAGTACATTGAAGCACTGGGAAGACAAACAACTGTCATTACTGCTCCCAACCACCATGATCCCTGCCCTCAGGACCGACACGGGAGGGACCTGAGCCTCCCACCCCTTCTCCCCAGAGGTGAGCCTGTTGTTCCTCCCCTGGCCCCACGGAACATGGTGTAACCAAGCGGTGTTGGTGGGGGACTGGGGTGTCCTCTCCTCAGACTCCAGCTGGGGAAAGCAGAATGGCTCAAGTGTGGTCATCAGGGAACAAGGTCCAAGACCAACAGGCAGGGCCAGGTGGAGGTGGGAGGGAGGGGCGGGGGCTGGTGGGGTAACCAGTAAACACTTTACACAACAAATGGGAAAGTTTTGGGGGAGGAGAGGCAGGAAGGAGGGAACAGAAATTGGGTAAACAGGCGCCAAGGGCGTGAGGTTCAGCTGCGGGACAGGGTCAGGCGTCAAAACAACCCTGGGCCCTCCGTGCACTTCTTGTTCCAAGAGCTGGTAGGTTCTGCCTCCAGTGGGAGGATGGAGGCAGCTGAGAGAAGGTGAGGGGCTGGAAGGAGCAACAAGGGGTTCCAGGGCACCCCTGAGGGGTTGAAGAAGACTCAGAAATCAGGACAAAAAAGGCCAAAAGGTTTTTTTCATTTTATAGTTTAAATGAAGTTTACATTTCAAGATAGTCTCCCATACAAAAATTTATACACACGTTGTTATCTGACTCTAATTGCTCTCCCTACACTGCGACAGCACACTCCTCCCCATGTCCATTCACCCAGCTCCTAACCCTCTCCGCCTTCCCATCTCACCTCCGCGCAGAAGCTGCCCATTTAGTCTCTTGTATCTACTTGAGCTGAGAGGCACACTCCTCACGAGTATCACTTATGTCCGATAGTCCAGTTCAATCCCTGTCTGAAGAGTTGGCCTCGGAAATTGTTTTAGTTCTGGACAGATACAGAATCCAGGGGCCATGCTTTCTGGGGTTCCTCCAGTCTCGGTCAGACCATTAAGTCTGGTCTTCTTACTAGAATTTGAGTTCTGCACCCCACCTTTCTCCTGCTTCATCAGGGACTCTCTGTTGTGTTCCCTGTCAGGGCAGTCATTGGTGGTAGCCAGGCACCATCTAGTTCTGGTCTCAGGCTGATGAAGTCTCTGGTTTATGTGGCCCTTTCTGTCTCTTGGGCTAATACTTTCCTTGTGTCTTTGGTGTTCTTCATTCTCCTTCACTCCAGGTGGTTGCAACCAATTGATGCATCTTAGATGGCCGTTTGAAGCTTTTAAGACCCCCAGACGCCACTCACCAAAGTAGGATGCAGAACATTTTCTTAATAAGCTTTATTATGCCAACTGACGTAGATGTCCCCTGAAAGCATGGTCCCCAGACCCCTACCCTGCTACTCTGTCCTTCAAAGTGTTTGTATTCAGGAAACTTCTTCGCTTTGGTTTAGTCCAGCTGAGCTGACTTTCCCTGTAGTGAGTGCTGTCCTTCCCTTCACCTAAGATAATTCTTTTCTACTATCTAGTTAGTAAATAACCCTCACTCTCCCTCCCCACCCTCGTAACCATCAAAGAGTATTTTCTTTTGTGTTTAAACCTTTTCTTGAGTTCTTATAATAGTGGTCTTACACAATATTGTTCTTTCTGTGACTGAATAAATTCACTCAGCATCATACCTTCCAGATTCCACGTTATGTTTCACGACTTCATCGTTGCATAGTATTCCACTGTGTGGCTATACCATAATTTGTTTATCCCTTCATCCACTGATGGGCACCTAGGTTGTTTCCATCTTTTTGTTATTGTGAACAGTGCTGCAATGAACATGGATGTGCATATATCTATTCATGTGATGGCTCTTATTTCTCTAGGATGTATTCCAAGGAGTGGGATAGCTAGATCATATGGTACTTCTATTCCTAGCTTTCTAAGGAAGCACCAAATTGATTTCCAAAGTGGCTGTACCATTTTACATTCCCACCAACAGTATGTAAGTGTTCCAGTCTCTCCACAACCTCTCCAGCATTATTTTGTGTTTTTTGGATTAATGCTAGCCTTGTTGGGGTGAGATGATGTCTTAGTCATCTAGTGCTGCTATAACAGAAATACCACTAGTGGATGGCTTTAACAAAGAGAAATTTATTTCTTCAGAATAAAGTAGGCCAAAGGTCCAAATTCAGGGCATCAGCTCCAGGGGAAGGCTTTCTCTGTCAGCCTTCTCATCAATGCTCCCCGAGACTAGGAGCTTCTCACCGCAGGGACCCCAGGTCCAAAGCACACGCTCTGCTCCTGGCATTGCTTTCTTGGTGGTATGAGCTCCCTAACTCTTTGCTTGCTTCCTTTTCCTTTTCTCTCTCAAGAGATTGCCTCAGGGCACAACCCAATCTTGTAGATTGAGTCCTGCCTTACTAATACAACCGCCACCCATTCTCCCTCATTAACATCATAGAGGCAGGATTTACAACACATAAGAAAATCACACAATACCAGGAATCATGGTCCAGCAAAATTGATACACACATTTTTTGGGGGACATAATTCAATCCATGACAGATGATATCTCATTGTAGTTTTGATCTGCATTTCTCTAATGGCTAATGATTGTGAGCATTTCTTCATGTGTCTGTTAGCCTCCTGAATATCCTTTTGCGAAGTGCCTGTTCATATCCTTTGCCCATTTTTAAATTGGGTTGTCTTTTTGTTGTTGAGGTTTTGCAGTATATTGTAGATTTTAGAGATTAGACGCTGATCGGATTTGTTATAGCCAAAATTTTTTTCCCAGTCTTTAGGTTGTCTTTTGATGAGCATAAGTTGTTT